TTACTGCCTCTAGACACTAGGAAAGGGTCATTGGTGTATGATAAAACTACATTGGTTTATCCCATGGCTTCATGTCAATGTTAAAAACTTGGGGAGAGAGGATTGACCTCTATGGCAATCACTGAGCAACTACAAGTGACCTCTCTTTTGCCTTGACTACCAATTGGAACCACCCCAGAGGAAGGGACAGAATGATGGGGAGGTACCTAGAATCCCCAAACCGTAGGAAATCCAGAAAAATACCATGATTGACAGCATCAAATGTGTATTGGTATAAGACAATGACCTTGGGAGATGGGGTGAAGAGATACTAGTGGTCAATCAGATTAGAGAGAACATAGTCCGCAGTTGCATAGAATGTGGAGCAACAGGTTAGGAAGGGACTTCCTTAAGTTCTTGGACTGTAAAATAAAGCAGGAAATTGTATCTTCAGGCTTTTGTTAATGTAATTTTACAATAAAGTAGAATTGTGTTGTCTGATTGTGTTTCCTATTCAGTCTGCCTGGTAAGCTTGACATCAATTTTGCAAATCTGAAAGTCACAGTAATTTGTGAATGAATGTCATCTTCTTGCAGACAGACCTGGCATTTACTATTAGCACTTTGAAGTCTTATACATTATGTTAGAAAACCATTTACATTAACTGCATATGTAGGGAAACATAATCTGCAAATAAGAATTAACAGTTTTCAGTTTCAAATAAGAATTAACAGATCTTTTAAAAAAGTATCATTCTATTTTCAGGTGATCAGTAAGAATACAAGACTTATCTTAAGTAAAGTACTTCAACTGTCTAAATAATTTACCCATACTGTTTTTTATCCAATTAGTTTGTTAATTATCATAAGATCCTACAAATTTATTTTTCTGTGAAGTGGTGTAAAAAAGAGGGGTAAACCCCCCTTTTGGCAGTTTTTGATTTTTTAAAAAATAAATGTATAATCATTTATCTTCAAAAACAACTTTCATTCATGACATTTATTTTCTTTTTATAATCCTGTAATCCCTTGCTTCAGGGTGAGGTCCGGGTGACTGAATGGAGCTGAGCATTTACTGGCTGGATGCCCTTCCTGATGCCTATGCGGAATTTGCAGCAGATATTTTCTGTTTGCACCCTGATAGAGGTTGTTGTCTAGGATTGAACTCTCAACCTTCTGAATGGAAGGTGAGCATCTTCACCTCTAGGCCACCTTGCTGCTCAACATTCCCATAGACAATAATCACGTAATCATTTGTCTGTAAGTATTCTAATATGTGTAAGGGCCACATTTTTGCCTCATTGCCTTTTGATGTCTCACATCCACACTTTAACTGCTGGCATTTATTTGCAAAGAATCTATGGTCATTTTTACACTTAAAGCTACTTGAGAGAGTATTCCTTCATTAATAACTTTGTACATTATGTGAATATTTGATGTCAGAGGGATGATATATGGAGACAGACTTAAAAAAGGCCTTGCTAGTCTTTTGATATTTTATGTTAATATATTAATAGGTGTATGTTCATCTCCTTTTCAGGATGACTTGTATGTTGCCATACTGACCAAAAGGTATGAACCTATGAACCATACAGGTGACACATTAATACTAAGAGTTCAATCAGTGCTGGCTGAAATGGAATAACTGAATTCTAAAGCAGCATTTTTGCTTTTGTTGTTGTAATAAATACTGTTTATTTTTCTGCTAAATAGAATGGTTTAAAGACATCCAGAGAACGCTGCAATTCCATAGGTATATAGCAAACCACTTTTGCATTGTTGCCAAGAAAAGTACAGGTATTTATCCATTTAATGCAAGCCAATTAGACAGTCGATTAAGTAAAGCAAGAACCACACGTTTACCCATTTTATTTAATTTTTTTTAAAAAGTAAGCAAACAAAATGTTGTGCTTCCTTGAATATCAAATAAAAATTTTGTGTAAAAGAGTACATAAATCTCATCTCTTCTTCACTTTTGAATAATACTGCATATACTTCAAAAATGAGCATTATTGTTTCCTACTGCACAACAAAAGAAGTTATCACAATGCCATTGCTGTTTATCATCTTCACAGTTTGTCCCAGAAAAACAAAACTCCTTAATCAGAAAATTGAACCCACTTCTCCCAGCAATACATTAAAAAGGAAGTCTAAGAATTAAATGAATCAAACAGTAAATGTGGAAATTAACAAGGACACCAAATAAGAAACATTGCTTTAGACCATATTAAACCACATGAATGTGTGTAAAGCTATTGGTGTATAGCAGCAGATAGGAATCATATTCACAGAATAGTTCTTGAGTTGAGGCATCTGGATGAAAGCAACATTCTACATGTGACAATCCATATCAGTGAATCATCTCAAGACAACGAAAAACAGATCTTCTTCATATTTACCAGGTAGGAAGGCCCTTTGAACACATTGGAATTAATGTCTGCATAGGATTGGGCTAAAAGTTTCTTTAATTTTAAAGACAGGTTACATTACCTGAAAAAAAAAACTGTATTATGATTAGTTGATGTAGCAGCAATAATTTCTGAGACAATTACTACACATTTTTGAAAATATGAGTTAAATTATTTAAAACTACTTTCCATAGATACTGAAGAATTTTAAATTAAATTTGTATCTTTTAGTAATTCATGTAATAATAGGAACTCATAAGGAGATTCATGGACACAGAATACAGACTACCTTCTAAATTAACAACTTGATTCATTTTGTTTTTATTTATTTATTTATTTAGAAAAAACCTGGTACTTACCACATATATAACTTGAAAAAGGCAATGCATAGATTCTAGCAATGGATAATTGTCTATGAAGAAAATATAAATAAATAAAAAGTCAATAATACAGATTTATCACTTATTGCTGCCAAGATAATTCAAAAGATCAAAGCATGCATGTGATGTAAAGACTGACTTTTTCAGTTCTTTTTGAATCTGTAGAATCTATACGACTAGGGATTAAACTGCAAAGGTTCGTGAAAAGATTCTTTATATTGCATCTTTCCTCTACCTTGAATAATGAGATATAATTAGTTCAATAGATTTAATCGGAGAAATAAAGATTAATATAGAGCATGTACATAGTTTTTGGTATGTGTGAACCTTCCCATTTTGAATCACCACCCACTTCTTCAGAATTTTCTTCTAATAAAACACCTAAAGCATATAATTCATTGAGGGTTTTTTAGTGGCATGCTACTTAAAGATTCTTAACTAAAACTGTCTGAATGTTTGCTGCTTTGGTTTTTTGTTTTTTAAAAAAATCAGAAATATAAGCATCCCATGCAAAAAAAAAAATGCTGATCAAACTCAACAATACTTAAATAAAATCCATTCTTTCTGTAGTAGTTCTTCTGTATTAAATTATATCAGACTCCAGAGTTCAAAATGTCTTAATATGGTTTAGTTATTTTTAAAATTATTTTTAGATTAAACTTGAAAATAATTTTATCTGCTGTGTTACACCATGTCATGCTGATTAATTGGTGGCTTTTCTACTAGTGTTGCAGCAAAAGGAACAATATAGGGATTTATTAAAATTAGGGCATTTATTAAATGCCTTATATATATTTGCATATATCAGTTTTTCAAACACAATAACTTTTGCTAGTTACTTATGGAAGAAGCCATCTCTAACCAGTTTCCTCCAAGTAAGCCAGAAGTAGTAGAATGCCCCAAATCTATGGTCAGCAGATAAGCATGCTGATTGGCATTGTGGGAGTTACAGACCCAAGAGATCTTGTATTACCAATTTGGAGAAAACTGAAGACATAATTTCCTACCATTGTACTATGACTTCTTTTAATGTCACATGCAGAAACTATGCATGTCTCTCTGTAAAAACAAATCAAAAGTCAAATGCAAAACACTTGAGATAGTTTATGTAATCGTTAGGCTCAAACAAAGAAGAATAAAATTCATACACCAACACCTGGGAAATCAAACTCTATTAATATAACTAGCATCTTAATAGCTTTTCTATGTATAAAAATAATTTCTATGAGAATTCAGGAAAAATATAATTCAAGTTGTCTCCCCCACACTTCTGTAAGTATGTTAAGTAGGTCAGGCAAAATAAACAAGTTTAAAGAAGGAATTTCCTCATTTACTTTTTTATAAATAATATATATATATATATATACTGTAATACTAAGGAAACCTGAACATGTATATCCACCATAGGATTCAGAGCTATATCTCTTGTATTTGAATACATACATTGAAGAGGCTGCTGTTGAAACTCCCAAAAGCTTCCAAGGTGACTCCATGAGATGTGGAGTGTGTTTTTCAAGACAACACAAGTCCAAAGCAGAAATTGGATTCAAAGGGCTGAGCAGAAAAGCTTTGCCTCAAAACCTGTGAAGACAGGCTTGCCAAATGTCAATGTTTGGCCTGGCCAAAGTAGGCTTGTATCATTTCTTTACTTAACAATACACAAGCAGGACTGAAGGCTATCAGTGCTCCAGTAAACAGCTCTGATGGTCCACAGAAAGATTTAGATCAACATCCATGGTATTGGATCAGGCCCCAGTTCAGGAAGTTAGGTGTTAAATAAAGCTACATATCTGAAGAAAGTACCCTTTTAGATATTAACATAATGACATTGTGATTCCCTTTATGTACATACAGTAGAAGCTGAAATGGTTGGACATGCTTACAAATTAGAATGTGTAGTAACTATACAACACATGCCTTTAAAAAGTGTAAACGTTTTACAACAGATTATACAGATCCTTCTAGGAGCTATAAAAAACACTGGAATCACAATATTACAAGTCATCACTAACAAAGAATTCTATCTGATTTATATATATATTTATATATATAATTGTTACTTATATAATAATTAAAAACCACTTTTAAACAATTATACAAGTTCACTTTAAAATTAACTTGTTAATAAAGTTGTGCAAAACAAGCTGGTTTCTATAATTAAGTGAAGTATTTATTCATTCATTCATTTATTTATGTCTTCATTTTTACAAAAATAATAATAATAGAAAGTTCATTTAGAAATGTGTTTCTTTTTCTGTAATGGCTGAAATGTTGCCATCACCTTTCAGTTTGGCATCGTAGTCATTTGCTGTAGCAACATATGAGCCAGCTCTGATCTTTCCTCTCATTTTCAGATCTGGGCTAGGTACAATCAGTTTTCTGAATCTCTGGAAAATAGGAAGACGATTAAAAAAACAACAATTAGGTCTTTCGGTCATCCTTATAGTCATGCCAACTCACTAAAACCTGGTTCACACATATTGTCCTTCTTAAGCACTGGTTCTTGAATATATCAGGATTTTAACATCGTAATATATATTGGTGTTGCATGGTGCAAATTTAAAACTATGTATGTGTGTATGTGTGTATGTATGTATGTATGTATGTATGTATGTATGTATGTATGTAATATGGCTATGAGGGCTTTGGATTTGGTTTTGAAGAGATGCGTCAGAAAGAATGGGAGGATGAATGCAGCACCAGTCTATATCTCATTAAAGTAGTCACATCTCCTTCTAGGATTAGACAACTGTAGTGACAGGTACACTCAGGTGATGTGTTCAAAGAACAGCATATTTTAAAGAACGTCTTTGGAAGTGATTCTGAGGCATACCACAGGCCTAATAATGTGTTATCCATTCATTCCATAATATTTAAGATGAATCCATTCATTCCATTTATTTAAGATAAAAATAATGGTGCTATGTTGTGCATAAAATAACACCCCCTCAGGTTCTGAATACTCCCCACCTAACAGTTCTCAGTTCTTACTAGAGGCTTACTCTAGGGCATTTGTTACCTCAATTTTGTTCCCTCCCTCTTTCACATTTTGGTTTTAAAATGTTTCATGAAATATTTTTCTTATGCTTGTGAATTGATATCATATAAACCATCTCTCAGGCTTGCCCCAGTCTACTCTCTCAGGAAAGTAAGACTCGTGACCCCATTTGGTTGAAGCAGAAGACCTTTTATGAAAAAAATTGGTTGCAGTAAAGTCAGACAGAATCTGGTGCTCCTGCACAAAATACAAAGCTATTTGTTTCCTTTCTCATTCCATTCCCCCATGACTGGTCCCCTGGCCAGCCAATGTGATGTCAGTAAAATGTTTTGAGAAACTCTGAGGTGTCATACTGGTAACATTACATTCTCAGGGAAAATGGCCTTGAAGATCCTGGTATAAGCTGGTTAGTGGAGATCTGGTCTTCTTCGACTGTCACTCCCCCCCCCCTATTTCCCACTTTTGAAGATATAGCAATAGTATCCAATAAACCCCCTCCCCTTTTTTAATGACAGGATGCCAGCAAGACACAGGACAGTGATGGTGGACCTGACACCATATCTAACAAGTGTTTGTATGCTACTTAATCAACATAATATAGGTTATTTATTTATGACCCTCAAGTGAATATTGTGGAATACATCTTTAAGTAAACTTGTGATTATTTTTTTTAAAAAAAATCCTCCAAAGCAACCCCCCTAAAATATAAACATGTTGTTTGGGCAACAAAAATGTCCACTTTTGCACCCTCCCAAGCTGTCTCTTGGTTCTTCCTCAGGTATCACCATACCCCATTCTCAAATCCAGGGTAAATTAATAAATCGATTGCTAACATTTGACATCTGCATCTGTTGAGTCACAACAGTGGGCACAAATTTATGCAGTTGGAAGTCCATAAGTTCTGAAGTACTACCAACAGAAGGTAAAGACTCAGGATTCACTGAAATATGTATATCCTATTTTTTCTTTCTGGGCTTATACCTGGAACTTCTTGTCTACGATATCAAACTGCTTTGTAATAAAAAACAAGCATCACCTCCAAAATGGTTCCTTCTGATTTCCACAGTTTTACACAGATCCACAAAGGAATGCAGACCATGGAGGACAGAGCCATCATCCAGCCAATACCATAACCCCAGTCTGGGTATATATATACGTTGTTATACTTCAAAGGTTTATATTTCACCAGGAAAAATATGAAGATGCCCTGAAATAAGGAGGAATGTGTTACGTATCCTTGAGAAAAAAAGAGAGAGAAATCTTGCTTAGGAAACTCCTTCATCCCAGTAAATTAATATATAAGGTCACACTTTGGAAAACAGACAGACAGCATGCTATCACTGCCGTTTTCTTCAATTTCAACACTCACATAACTTGCATCTGTCTCCTTTTTTACCCAAAGGGACCAGATTTCACACTGAAATCCAAATGAGCTTTAATTTAAATAACAAAGACATAAAGTCTTCTTTTCAATTTGGCCACAAGCTGCATTTGTGCAGATCAGCTTAGGGCTTGTGAGTAGAACATGTTTCAATTTGCATACTACTGAGTTGATTTTTCCTATCTCTTCCCACACACCTCTCACAAACATTGCAATGTATGCAATTTCAGGTGGCCTCAACCTGGACAAAAATACCAGAACATTCAATATGCTTCAAACCACTTCTAGTTTGGAATATTTACTTCTGGAAATAGCTAAACCAGAGCAGTTTGATGTGTTCAGGACAGAATGGAGTTGAGAATTCTGCACATCTTTTGCTGCAGTGCATTTCTCCAATAAAGCATGGATACAAAAAAGCATATATTCTATATACAACTTAATACATAACAGACAAAATGTACATGACTATACTTGAGTGCGTACAGGAAAAGCATTATATCATAAAAATCACTTGCATAATTTGTGATCACACAACATAAATATGCATATGCAGATACGCATATATTTGAATGAATATATAAAATACATATAAATTTCATAGGAACTTAAAAAAATTATTAAACTGTTGTGAAAATTACCATAGTCCTATATCACAGTTAATATCAGGTTTTCATTATTATATTAGCACTTCAAAAATACCTCTGAATCACCCATTTATATTATCTGCAATCTTGCATTTATATGTATGTATGTATGAATGTATGTATGTAGGGAGTGAGCTTGTATATGTATGCGTTTGTATATGTATGCATTTATGTGCATGCCTGTGTGCATACCAACCCACATGCACATATTTGTCTGTATGTACATACAAGTCCACCAATCTTCTCTGGTATATCAGTGATACTGAGTGAAATGGTTAATGCCAGCAAACCAAGTTAGTTTTTCCCAGGAATTGAAGGGAGGGGTACAGCAAGAGTTATATGAATCAGTTAGGATTCAGTCCACCACATCTTTGTTCAAGTGCCCATTATAGGCAGATTAGTAAATCCTATGCCATGTAGGAAATGCATGTATTTAGATGTGTTATACATTCTATCATGTCAATATGAATTAATGTACAAAGAAACAGTGTGGTTAAGACATCAGCCTGGAAAGTGGGAGGCCCTGAGTTCTTGTCCTTAGGCAAGTCACTGTCACTTAGCCAGTCGCTGTCTCTGAGCCCTAGGAAGGAGGCAATGACAAGCTACTTTTGAAATGTTGCCAAAAAACTCATTGACATGTCTAGGCAGTTGTCATAAGTAAACACTGACAAAGGTGTGCATGTGTGTGTGCACATACACAAAGACACAAAGTGAAGATAGCATGTAACAATGGCTTGCCTGAATCTGGGTGAATTGGGAAAAAAATCTTAATATAACACGATCAATAAAAAAAATAGCTAACTAAATGGAAGGATATTTCATAAGATTTTTTTCACTTAATCACTAGAGATTTATTTCATTCTCCTTGAATAATCTACTTCTACAAAATAATTTGAACAACACATCTGGATGAAAACCTTGCCAGAGCCTTACAAATTGTGTTCTCATACTAATCACATGTTTTATTACTTACTGCACAAATACCAGGAGTAATGAACATCCAACACCATTTAAACATTATCAGTGGTCTGTACCCAATCATATCTTCAATGTTGTCATAAAACCGATTGCTTCCTATGCAAAATAAAAGAGCAAAGAGTGAATGTGCATCCATGAACACTTTAGTTTCAATCTAGAGACAATGCTTCTGGAATTCTGTAGTAACACAAACCTTTATACACTATTTCTGAAATTGACCCTTTCTCTGTGATTGTCAATGAATGCCCAAAAATGGAAGGTAAAGGCAGCTGCTAAAATTGAGGCTGTTGCTAGAAAGAGACATTGCCCATTATTTACTGGGTCTGGTGTAGCCGTAACTACATCAGCTATGGTAACACAGTCCTTTCCACTGCTGGCTTAGGCCCTCGAAAGTGCTCTTGATATGATGTCCATTGTCTCACTACACATCTGAGGAAGGGACGTACAAGGCTGTCACTTTTATTTTCTTTTGGAGCTACCTGAGAATGATGCTGTCTCATGAGGTTATGCCATTGCAAGAGTAGGGAAGAGCCTCAAGCTTCCTGATGCCACCACCTTCCAAGTATAACACAAAAAACCAGATGGAACCTATTGCCAAAGATAAGGAGGCGCTCCAAGGAAAAGCGCATTAGGTCAGCATCCATTATTTCATTATCAGCAGGAAAAATCAGAGGGAAAGAGAACAGCAAAAACATCATTCTAGGACATTTTATTAAATGTTTAACATCTACATGAAGCCATTGGAGGAGGTCATCTGTAGCCATGGGATGAAATATCATCAGCATGCTGATGATGCCAGATGTATATTTCTGCCCCTGATGAAGTAAGCAATAATACTGATGTCCTGTCTCGGTCCTTGGAAGTTGTAGGAGTTTGGATGGGGAACAACAGGCTTTAGTTCAACCCTGGCTTAGGGTTTGGGGAATAAAATTAGGACCAAGAATATGGTGAAGCAATCACTAAGTGGAAGTTCAGCTATGCTTACGATCTTACCTCAACTTTTCTTTGCTTCACAGGATTGCAAAGATTATAAATGCAAGGATTAGTTGCAAGGTTACTTCTTCATCCCTGTCATAGCTATGAACAGTTGCAATACGAGAAAAATCACTAAACAAAGACTACCCATAGATCAGCACACATTACACCTCTGTTCAGCTGCACTGATTATCAATTTGTTTGGGGGTTCAATTCAAGGTGCTAATAATGATCTATAAAGCCCTGCATGACATGGGGCTGGGTTATTTGAGAGACTGCCTTTCCTCAATCACATCTTTCCATCCCATCAGGTCTGGCAGAAACAGCATGTTGCAAGTCCCATCCACAAATGAATGCCATCTGATGGGACCCAGAAGAGACCCTTTTCTGCCCCAGCACCCACTCTTTGGAAGATCGTGTTCCCTGAAGTCAAACTGGCCCTGACCTTGTTGGACATCTAGAAAGTTCTGAAGACATAGCTTTGCAATATGACTAGGGATCCAGTAATGGTGGTCTGGAGTCTGTTGGGGAAATTAAAGGTATTCTTCCACATATTATGTTTTTACTGATTGTTAATAGTTTATTGCTTTTTTAATTATTTTGTTGTTATGATTTTGGTTATTTTTTAATTATCTTTGTTTTTTAACTTTGTAAGCTTCCCAGACTCATGAAAACATAATGAGCAGGTATATAAAATCAATTAGTCAATAAGATCTTCTACTTTCCTTGAGGAAAGATGGGATGTTTATTCCATTTTACTTAACACTTATTTTGACAGATGAAGAGCATCTATGTACCTAAACTGAATGACACTACAAAAATTTCCCGAATTAAATTGGAAAGTTGTATTAAATCATCAACTCATGAAAGTTGGATGAGTTTGAATACTTTAAAGATTTTTACATATGTATAAAAACTCTTTTTAAAATTAACTTGGACAATCAAACCAAGCTGACTTGATTTGATGCATTATGTGGTTGCAGTCAACACTGAGTTTAACTTAGAGGTACATAATAACAGTTTATGCTTCAAACTGGCTTCTGCAATTCATGTAATACGTACTTGAGCAAAATATTATGTTTGCTTGTATACTATAGCAATACAGGTTTAATGCATAAGATTGATAAATTAAGGGACACTCTTTATTCATACTTTATTTGGTATACTGGGCCATTGCTTCCTGATTGATTCCTCCCCCTGTTGCTTTTCAGAGTGAATTCAGCTTGCTGGGAATATTTCATTATAAGAGCATTTTAGGCAGTTCACATATATGGGGTTGCATCTTATATACTTGGTATTGAATGCAATTCACACATTTACCACCATCTGTATTTAATTCTTGTAATTTTAAAATTATTCTTATATTTATAATTGTTTCTATATTTTATTTTTGCGGCAATGTGAGCCATTGTGATGACTCCCCCGGACACTTCCCAGATATGTCTTCAGATCTCAGCTCGGAAGAGGATGAACCAGTTCCGGCACTTCTGGAGGGGAGTTGATCAATGGCTCCAAGCAACCGTCTGAGAAGGATTTGACTGAAGCACAGCTGCAGCAGGATAGCCCTGAGACTTCAGGTGGGGAAACCACATAGCTGCAGCCAATCAGTGATGAGGAAGAAGAACTGTCTTCTATACCTGATCTGAGAACACGTAGCAGCAAAGGTCAGCCTGATTACTTGTGAGGAGCCAGCCTCGCTCTTTTTAATTTAGCACAGTAGACAGATGGAGGCAATGCTGGGAACATGTTCATTTCCTAGCTGTGTTTTTTCCTGGTTGTTGTGATTCATGCCTTGCTTTGATTGATAGTAGGCCCTGACTTGGATCATGCCGTGTGAAATCTGGACTTTTCTTGCCCTGTGAATTATCTTGTATTGTGGATTTAACTTTGCCTGGTGGGTTTATTTCATTTGGGAAACTTTAAAGTGCCTTGTTGACTCAAGGGCCCTTGCTCTGTGAATTAGCATTGGTCTGCTTTTGGCAGAACTTAATTGGGACAGTTCTGGGTTTTTGGTGAAGGGAATTGCTGGGGAATATTAATAAACCCACTAAATTACCATTACATGTGCATGTGAGTGAAAAGGACAGCACAGCCACGTAAAGTCTCCTTGGATAGAGTGATAGGCAGTATATAAATTTAATAAATAAACTAAATTATAGAATTATCAAATTAATTAAGTATTCACAAAAGAATCAAGGCATTAAATCTGCAGTCTGTATTTAACTCCTAACTTCTAAAAGACAACAACATGAATTGTTCTGGGAACCACTCCAAGGATAGCTATATGGCAGTGATGACGAACCTATGGCACGGGTGCCAGAGGCGGCACTCGGAGCCCTTTCTGTGGGCACACGCACCGTCTCCCCAGCCCCGCCTCCTCCCACAGCCCCCTCCTCACCAGCAGCCCCCCTGGAGGAGAGTCACCCCTGGGTGCAGCCCACGCGAAGCAGCGCAGCCAAGGACATGGTAGCCGGGCAGCGGGAACAAGACTCTGCCCTTGCGCCCGGTCACGCGCAGATGATGCTGCGGGGCATGGGCAGAGGGCATGGCTGCCATGTTGCTGTGGGCTGCCTGGGTGATCTGTGGCGAGCCGTGGAGGTGGTGAGTGGCCCAGTGGGCAGGGCAGAGCAGGGACGGGGGTGGGGGGCAGTTTTTGGGCACTCGGTCTCTAAAAGGTTCGCCATCACTGCTATATGGGAAACAATATTCATCAGAAGGGGAGATCTATAAACCATGCTTTGACAATTCTAATCTTAAATTTTGCCTCAATTCAAACATTTTTAATATGGCAAGGTATATTATGGAAATAATTTCTACAGAGGTAAGAAAGATGGAGGCAAAGAAGGATAACACTAGATATTTTGTTTTGTTGTCCCTGCATTATCCTTTCTCTGCACAAGGCCAGACATATTTCCCCAGCTGGTCCCTGGAAAAGATATTGATGACTATGTATATCTAGTGTATATTTAACATGTTTGAGACATATTTGTATGATGAGAAACAGGACATAAGTAATTGACATAAAAATACATTATTCAAATTATCTGGAAAAGTATTATGTAATTTCAGGCAATAACATCAATCATTGACTCACCATAAAACCACCCAATGCAGACACACTCAAATATAGCAACAAAAAGAAGGCACATTCCACTAGCAGCATAAGAATCAAATAGCTGGAAAACATACATTCCGCCCTGAAAAAGAAAATTAAAAAATAAGAAGGTTGTGGGTTTGTGACATTTTAGTTTTAAAATGAGGATTATTTTCAGATAGTATTCGCTGGAGGATACCATGTAATTTTTCAAATTATAACTGGAAAGGGAGAAAATACAATGTTCTTCTCCTTTGCCCAAGTCAAGAGGAAAATTATTCCTTTAAAGGCATTATTTTCATTGTGGGACACCTCCATTGGTATAGTGATATTAGCCTCACAGCAAGGATTTACCTTATAGTAGTTAAAAGCTAGCCTTTATCAGTAAATTTAGGTAAGAAATACCTAATAAAATGCTAGCTGTTCACCCTAAGCCATACAGCTCAAAGTAAAATTCAATCGACAAGAAAATTTGCACAGCATTTAAAATGTTCCTTGGAAATTACATAGCACTGGAGTGGATATTGCAGTTCTTTTCAACAGCAGTGCATTTTCCCCTTAAATTTAACTCATTGAATGTTTTGGGGTTTTTTTGGGGGGGGGGGAAATGTAATGAAAAACCTTAGGTGACAGTAAATGATGCAACAGTGCCATTTGGTGGACCATGATACATATTGCAACTTGATTGTATACTGCAAGTAACATATTCTAGAATGTACAACATTCTACTCTTTGAAACAAAAGGCATAGAAACAGTGTGCTTTGGAAAAAAATATTTTCTCCTTTTGCTAAATTCTATTCAAAACAGTTGGGTAAACAGCTGCAGTAATAAATAAGCTGGGTTTGCCTCATGAACTGATATGCCTCGAAACACGATTTTCTGGAGAGTGATAATAGTGGTATAACTCTCATATTATATTTATGCTTTTTCAGTAGCATGGAGCTGAACACTCTGAGTAAGGTTTTGGCCTTGTGTGAAGTAGGGCTTAGCACATGTCTCCAATAGGGTTGCATGCATATTTTCCACTGAAAGAGTCTTCTAGACCATCTCTCCCACCAAAATCTGACACTAGCCACATATCTCTTCTGCAATTAGAGATATTTTAAAAGGTTAATTCTTTTGTTTATTTAAAGTATTTCTATACCTTAGTTTATATAAATATTTATAATATACATTATATTTCCTATACATCACAGAAAATTCCCAACTGCTTTACAGTAGCCACAAAATCAATTCAAAATAGTAGGAAAAAAAGTTAAAAACAATATATCTGGAAAAACCAGGGAGAATTTAATGGCTGGACTCAGCGGACTAAATTATTACTTCCAATATTGATTTTTATGATAGTGTCATAAAATCAGTGTTGGAAGAAATAATTTAGTCTGTTGAATACAATTCCCTGTTCAGTTCATGATAGTTTCCATAAATGGGATATCAATCATGTCATGTAATCAACAGTATCACAAACTGTAGTGCAGAGACTAGCATCTCTTCTTAAGATTATATATCTTGGAGGGAATATGTAATTGTTCTTTATGATTGTTTATGATTCATCCATTCTGTGAAGCTAATGAAGTAAAATATTATCATCTTGATGAACAATATCAAAAGCAACCGAGGGTTCAAATTAGAGTTTCATGTCTCTTGGTAGAGGTCATCTATTGGTGATTAAGATTCTACCCTATTCCAGTCTGGAATTCAGAATGGGTATCTTCTTCAGGCAATACAAAGGAATTGGTAGCAATAAAACTAAGTTCAATTTAATGTTATGAATAAAATATAATTAGCATTTACTCTCCTGTGTATATGGTACTTTTTGCCTCTGTCATACAAAATTACAATTCAATGGCAATTCAATAGTTGATTACTAATACGATTCTTCTTATTAATTCAGTTTATTCGATTTGTATGTCATTATCTATCCCCTTCCCTACCCATCACATCTAGATGATTCTGGGCAACTAACAGTTTGTAGTAAAGCATAATCAATCAGTGATGATTGGAGAGGTTTTGTACATACAAAATTTTAATTCACCCTGGTGAATGGGAAGGGTCCATTGAAAGGGATAATCTGTTCCTAATTCCTAAATGGCTTTTCAAATCAAGACCAGCATTTTATAGAATGCTAAAATACATTTGACAAGAAGATCTAATATTTCTAAATGATTGGCAATTAATCCCAAACCTATTTTTATAAATATTTGTGGTTCCAATAATTTATGAGTCATCCAATATGCTTCATAGAATTCCCAACTCTAAAAATGAGGGTTGTGAATTAATAGTTGTGAATGTTATTAAATGTAACTTACCTCTGTTAACATGATTAAACCAAGAAAGAAAGACACAATTGAAAGAGCTAGAATCAACATTTCTCTTCTATATCCTCTCCGGAAAACTTTGGGATACATATCCACCACTGCTGTCACAAGACTCTCAACACACACAAACTGGATAAAAGAAACAGAAACAAAGCAAACAAATACATTCCCGTTTCTATATCAGTAATCAGTGCATGAAAAGTTTTGCAGCATTCACAGCCCAATGTTGTAAGTAGCTTTATTCAAACTATATCGCAGGTGAGGCAAATTGTGATTCTGATTAAGACTATCCCTATTATTCTTCAAAAGAGATAAGGGACAAGTTTTTAAGTTTTCTCAGCACAAAATAAAGCACTAGACTCTGTATTATTTCTTGACTCACTGCTGTGAAAAATTAGGGAAATTATTCAGCATTTAAGAATTATTATGGGCTGAGGACAGTGCTCCATTTTATATTCCTATCTTCAAACTCAACAGTACCGATTATATGTTTTTGAAATCTAATCCTTCAAGGTGATTAAACACCATTTTTAAATTCCTTAGTTCACTTTCCTAAAGTCACTAGGTACATCTCTCAACCCTACTTTAGTGGCTGGTGCGCAATTCCATTCTTTTAGAACAGCTATTTTCCAAGGAACCCATGGTTCCAATGGGAAAGCTGCCTTCATTGCCTTTTCTCTATCAAGTTGCCAGCCTTTTAAATTTCTCAAGTTTAGCCTGTGATTGAGGTACATTATTTTCAACTCATGTTATTATACACTTGCCTGCCTGTTTTCTCTTATTTCATCTCACAAGCAATACCAGTTTGCATATATTAACAAGTCACATATGTTTATACTCATAAAGAATATATCTTACTATGTAACAATTCTACGTTTTAAAGACCTTCACAGAAATTAGTTTGCAATTTTTATAACAGTTTTATAGTAGCTGTGATTTTACCTGACTATCTAATCCAAGGAATATAAGCATCATGAAAAACAAAGTTGCCCACAATGGAGAAAGAGGCATCATTGTTACAGCTTTTGGATATGCAATGAAAGCAAGTCCAGGTCCTGAAAGTAAAATAAAAGGAATTAGATACATAAATGAGGACTTGTTCATATACTGATCACATTATGGATAGTCGGTATAGATATATAATTGATGGCATGGGATGTCTATTACTCTGGATCTTATCTCTTTATAGAAAATGTCCAACTTCTTTCCTGCACAATTAACTTATCTTTAAATCCCATATTCAAGAAGACCATCAAATATATTTGTAGAACTTACCTGATTCTGCAACCTCTGCTATGGGAACCCCCTGTTCAAAAGCCATAAAGCCAAGAACAGAAAAGATGGCAAAACCAGCCACAAAGCTTGTACCACTGTTCAGGCAACAGAGCATAATGCAGTCTCTATCAAATAAAGAGCAAAATCATTGTTTAATTTTAAGTGCTTGACTTTATATCACAGTTCTGGAAAAAAAAAATCAGAAAGAGAGAAGCATTAACTTCCAGGAACTTTCCATGTAGCTTGTTGGCTGTACTTCTAATACATTAATATAATCAAATGGATTATAGTACATTTTTGCCACAGTTAGTATCACCAAATTCTACTGTTCTAGATCTCAGAGATATCATCAGAGATTTAGTCAGAATTTTAATGATACCTCTTTTTTTTACTTGGTGCCAAAAATACAGGAAATAATTTATTTGGCTATTCAATGGTAGCCTTTGGAAATATAATTTTTCATTTTTCTAATTCAATGTCTTCTCAGAATATGGAAAGAAAACTTCTACAAGCTGTCTCACTTGGAATATAATTACTGGTTTTATGGAATTTCCATATTATATGACTGCCTACATTATGTTGCAAATGCACAGTTAACATTCACATGTAAGTTCTTCTTGCAAGGCTTTAAGGAGAAATGCATAACCAGAGAAATCTGAAATATAACATTATGCTAAATGATACAATTTTATATTCAAATAACGTGATTACTGTAACTACTAATAAATAGTTTCTGTTTTCTACTTTCTTCAGGAAATGATATCAGTTTGTGTAGGTAAATACCTACAATATTTAAATTCTTGGTTGTCAATCGGTTTGAAAAGAGAGAAGTTTGTGTTAAGAAATATAAAATCTTGTGGCACCTTAAAGATGACAGTTTTGTCAGTTTTAAATGTACTTTGAAGATTTATATTCCACAAGGACTTATCTGAAATACTTTGACAAAGATTCAGTATTTTTATCTGACAAGACGGACAAAATACAGAATGTGGAGAATGATTCCTAAAAGGATGTTTTACTGGATCTATAAAAGAAATTGGTCAATTAAAAAATAAAAGGAAAGTACAAATGATAAACAAACAATGACCTTAAACATTTTTTTAATTACAATTGAGGTTTGCTAAAGCCTTGAAGGGACCACGAAGGGGAAGATCTATGTGATGGTATATAGAAGAATCAAAGAGAAATCAAATCCTACAACAATATTTGATTGAATTAAAGGAAGGAATATAAAGTTGATTTATTTGATCAAGGTTAAAGTAAAACATTTTGTTTTTGCAATGCTCTGGCAACATTAATGGACTTTGTGCTGACACCAGGATTGAAAAATTGGTGTTTTATCTATTTGCTTCTAGAAAAGGGCTGAAGAGATACCTGTTTAATCTTATAGGGGATTAAGAATTATTAAATTTGTTTATATTTGAGATAATGAAGATTGGAATACACTTCTTTATATATTTCTTTTCCTCTTTTTTATATTTTTTCTCTTCTGCAGTTTTACTGTTTCCTTCTCTTTCTATTCGTTCCCTAAGTTTAATATGTATTAGTTTTTATTATTGTAATTAAAATTCATAAAAAATTACATTCATGATGAATATTACTCATTTATTTTATGGTCAATATAATATTATTAAATATTCTTGATAGTTATCAATAATATTAATATTATTATGGTTCAATGCATAGTTAGACAGATGTTCAGATTGTATTTGGCATTCAGGCTAGGCAAACGTGGATACTTGATAGTGTTTAAAGTATCATTACAACATATAACCTGTTCCAAATAAAAATGTTTTTTGCAACTGACTGATTGATTTTTCAATGCCAATGATGTTCAAGTGATACTTCAGTTGTTTTGGGATTATAGGACCCTGTTCCTATTGGTTCTACCTTTGCTTTCAGTTCATATCAGTCTCAGACTCTTAACATAAGTCTTAACAAAAATACTTTGATTTTTGTTAGCTTCCAAGACATGGAAGAGAAAAAAAAGGTGAAGCCCTAAGGCAAAATCTGCAATTTGTCTGTCTGTCTGTCTGTCTGTCTGTCTGTCTGTCTGTCTGTCTGTCTGTCTGTCTGTCTCTCTCTCTCTCTCTCTCTCTCTCTCTCTCTCTTTCTATCTCTATCATCTTATCTCTCTCTCTCTCTCTCATAACAAAAATGAGAAAAAACAGATAATTAATATAATATCTCATCAAATACTAAATAAGTTGCATAGTATTTTATATCGTCAACCTTTCTTCACTCATTCTGCCTACACTATTTATCTACATCTGAAATTTTATCATTTTCAATATCGTCACATCATTCATGACTTTCTTTCATGTATTTATTCTTGAAGCTTTATTTCAATTTCAACTTTTGACATATCACTAGCATATATATTCCTATGTCTGTCAAAAATACTCATTCCAGGATTCAGTGATTTTATCTTTCAGAAATGATCTATCCCAGATAATTTTATCACTTTATTTTTATTTTCTGGAAGATCGTGTTTTTTGATCTTGCTCATATTAAGATGTGTGGATTTCAACTCCCAGAATTCCCCAGCCTGATCTAGGCTGAAAATGGCCAAGATTGAGAAACATTGATTTAGGCATTTTACCAGTTTCCAAAACTAATTTTCATTTTAGTCAAAATTTAATGGCTTGTTTCCCTGTTTCTTTTAATCTTAATCTTAATTATTTATTGCAATCTTTGAAACTATCTTGTATTTTCAGTGCAATTTTTTATCTCTTAACTTCCTGCAGTAATTCTACTTTCACTCTAGAGCGTCCTCCATTTCTTTCTTTTTCTTTTATATTCATTTTCCATTTTTAACAGTATCCAATAATATCCATCTCACTTTCAGGATCTCTATTTACTACTCTAATTCTATCACTTTTATCAGAAACAAGTGAATTAATCGCTATTTAAGATCTATATCCTTTCTTTTGTTATGGATACAGATAAACAGTTATTTTGCTTAGATCCAGTAGTGGGATTCAGCCGGTTCGCACCACTTCAGCAGAACCAGTAGCTAATTTTTTGTTGCCCAGGCTCAGAATGGACTTCCAGAAGCGGCATCCACACAGAGAACCAGTTGTTCACATATTTGAATCCCACCACTGCTTAGATTACATTTTTTAAACACATTTTTTTTCTAACCAAATATTTCCTAGTTGCCATTTTTCTTTATTTTTTTGGTCCTTGAATGGACCAGTCACTTTTTCTGCATTGTCTTCTTTCATTCCCACCTATACAGTCATGTCACCTAACAGAATCATTTTTGTCCTATAAACCTAAGAAGAACAGAAAGAAGATGATATGGAGTGTACATAATTGTCAGAAAAATAGGAGAGACAGATATTGGTGGGGTTGTGGCTAGAAGGCCCTAACCCTAATCCTAATCACAAGCACCAGTAATTTAAACTGAACTGTCTTAGATAAGGAGCTAATAGAGCATCATGTGCTACAATGATAATAAGATACCATATGTAGCTTTTCCTGCTTCTGATAAGATCAATACCAATCAGCTGGCATTAATTGGCACGTGCAGGCCCCAAGCCTAACCCACGCCCACTTTTACTTCAGACATATTCACACTATTCTATCCAAGATAGGATTTTACTTTAGAGGTCAACATGCAGGCATCTCACCAATCAAACAGGGTCCAGACCATTTAAATAATGCATAGTGTTTATTAGTGTATGCAGTATGTATGCATGTATGTGTTTTTGTGTTTTAATTAGTCTTGCATACACATCACCAAATAATTACCTTAAATATATACCTAGATTTATAAATAGATTAAACTAAAACCTAAACAGAAAAAAACATATAATGACACAATTGTGTATTACCTATAACAGTTATTATTGTAGTTATTGTAGCTTCCTAGGGCTGTCAAGCATCCCAGGCAGATAGCATAGGAGAAAAATATCTGTGTTCCAGCATCTACCCAGACCTGCAAACATAAAAATGCAAAAACAATTTAGGAAAAAAGAAATATTTTCTATTTCAGAACCATATACAATAATTCATATATAAAAAGTATTACCAAAATGCCTTGTTGCCATATTTTTTGCTGGATAACCAGTTTAAAAATCCAAAGATCATTATGTGATTAAAAAATAAACATTGTGTTTCGGTTGTTTTTCTTGGTATTCCTTTTCGTCCCATTACTTGTGATTTTTTTTTATTCCAGTGAAGTATTATCTATTTGTAATATCAAGGATTATTTTTTAGCAAACGTAAAAGAAATTATTTGGGGAGCAGACTCCTGTTTTATTGTCAGAAAGCATCTATTATAACTGTATGATTTTACTGTGGTATAAAATTGATATAATAGGCCAAGTATCTACAGTTAGATAGTCATACAGAGCACTGTATCAAACAAAGTACATCTGCAAACATTGCATCATTGCATTTCTACTGTTTGTAGAATTAAGTACATTGAGAAAAATGGTTTTTTTTAAACTACACTTTCCAGAGATTTAGGCAATGTGGACTGGAGAAAATGGAAGTTATAGCACACTACATCTACACCTAGACAGCAAGTTAAAGAAGGCTAATGTAATCCATAATTGATATCCAGCAAAAAAGGATTATGACTATGAGCCAGCAGTGTGCAGCAGCAGCCAAACAAACTAGTACAATCCTGGGTTGTATAAACAAAGACATAGAATCAAGATCACGTGAAGTATTAGTACCATTTTATAAAACCCTAGCGAGACCACACCTGGAATACTGCAACCAATTTTGGTCACCATATTACAAAAAAGATGTTGAGACCTTGGAAAAAGTTCATAGAAGAACAACTAAGATGATCAAAGGCCTGGAGATTAAAACATATGAAGAACAGCTGCAGGATTTGGGTTTGGCTAGTCTAAAGAAAAGAAATAATAGGGGTGACATGATAGCAGTATTCCAGTATTTGAGGTGGTGCCACAAAGAAGAGGGGGTCAAACTATTCTCCAAAGCACCAGAGGGCAGGACAAGAAACAATAGTTGGAAACTGATCAAAGAGGGAAGCAACATGGAATTCAGAAGAAACTTCCTAACAGTGAGGTCAATTAACCAGTGGAACAACTTGCCTTCAGAATTGTGGGCACTCCATCACTGGAGGTTTTTAAGAAGAGACTGGACAGTCACTTGTCTGAGATGGTATAGGTTCCTCTTTTTTTTTTTTTTTGAAATAAATTTTTATTAATTTTTCAATTAAAAACAAAAGCATAAATCTTTTATCACAATATCAACCAAAGAAAATAACAAATCCACGGACGTGTTCAGTGTCCCCCCCAACTGCACCACCCTCTTACTTACTACACCTTCCTCCTCCCAACCTACCACCACTCCTCCTTCCTCCCTCTTTCCTACATCCCTTTCCCACTCAACCATCCCGTCTTGTGCAGTTGGGGCTCCACCGGACACCTCCCTAAAAAATTATACATATATGTACATATAAATCTATAACACAAACCTATCCCTTACCCCCCCCCCAGGACTTCCCAAAGCTAATCTAGGAAATAAACACACAATAATCAAATTCTATCCCCAAATATTCATTGTTACTATACACTAGTATAAACTTACTGTGACTCTAAAATAACATTAAGATGCATACAAATTTTTTTTAAAATATATCAATATTTGTTATACATATTTTTATTTAAAATTTTATTCAAAAGCTACATAATAATTTTTCAATTCATACTTTCTCTGAATATAATCTATCCATCTTCTCCACATTGAGATAAATTTCTCCTGAGAATGGTCCTTCAGGTACGCGGATATTTTTGCCATCTCTGCAAAATATGATATTTTCTGTCTCCAATCATCCATAGTTGGTAACATCTTTTTTTTTTCCAATTTTGAGCAACTAATGTCCTTGCTGCTGTTATACAGTACAACATCAATTTCATTTCTTTTTGGTCCAGATTGTCCATAATACCATAATATAGGTTCCTCTTTGAACAGGGGGCTGGACTAGAGGACGTCTGAGGTCCCTTCCAGCTCTAATATTTGGTTTTAATTCGGCTTTTATCGGGGTTTATTTTTTGTATTTCTGTATTTTGTATTTTGCATTTTTTGTATTGTGTGTATATTATTTGTTTTTAATATGCTGTGAACCGCCCTGAGTCCTATGGGAGAAGGGCGGTATACAAATTAAATTATCTATCTATCTATCTATCTATTCTATCCTATTTCTCAGAAGAACCTCAATCACAGTGTTTAATTTTATACATAGTTATTTTTTCTGAATTCTCAAACTGAGGGAACAGGCAGAAACAAAGAGATGATAAGGAAAAATTAAATCTGACAACCCCTACTTTGACTGTTAAGCTTAAGTGCACATGAGAAGGGATTTGTCTGTGCTACATTCTATATATTTCATTATTTATATTTACAACTTGCCCTTCTCTTAGATGATCAAGGCAGCTCTCATGTTTTTCTCATTCTATTACATCCTTATGACTGTGTCAGCTACAGTCAATCATCTATTTCTTTCAGAAAATTCTTTGAAAAAATGTATTCATTTTTCTTGCGGCTTTAGATGTTGTGATGGAGATCAGTTTAGACATGGTTAAAGGCATTGAAGACAAATTTGCGAAGAGCTATTTATGGATTTTGGACTTCTGAAAGGTACACTGCCTTCAGAATAATGATTGTAAAAGAACCATGCACACTTTCATACCACTTGCTAGGAAACAACAATAGAAAAGTCCTATTGCTATTTTATCCCGCTTCTGAGTTCTCAGATGCATCTGGCTGATCACAAAATGTTGAACTTGATACGCAATTGTTCTGTTCCTAGAAGATTCTCCTTTAGTTCCTAGTTAGGGACTAATGAAATAATCTGTGGCAGCAAATTATACATATAACAATTATTCAATGTATGAAAAGTAGTTATTTCTCTTGTTTGTTTTGAATCAATCAGCTTTCTTGGCAAATCACAATTTTTACCTTGTTTAATTTAGTAAGTTAGACTAGCACCATCCACTATTTTTAATATATGGGAAAGAGAAAGAGACAGGTAGCAACAACAACAACAATATTCATGATATTGTTTTTCTACAGGTAGTCCTCAACTTACAACATTTCATTTAGTGACGGTTCAAAATTAAAATGGCACTGAAAAAAGTGCCTTATAACCATTTTTCACATTTACGACCATAGTAGTATCACATGGTCATATGATCAAAAGTCAGACGCTTGGCAACTGATTCATATTTTTGATGATTTCAGTGTCCTGGGGGTCATGTGATCACCTGTTGCAACCCTCTGACAAGCAAAGTCAATGGGGAAGCCAGATTCACTTAACCATGTTAGTAACTTAACAATTGCAATGATTCATTTAACAACTGTGGCAAGAAAGATTATAAAAGGGGGCAAAATATACTTAATACATGTCTCACTTAGCAACAGAAATTTTGAACTCAATTGTGGTCGTAAGTTGAGGACTGCCTGTATTATCGTTGTGAGTCATCCAAAATTCTGATATTAAGATGACTAGCCATATAAGAATTTAAAATAAATTAAAGAAATAAATCTTCCCTTTAATATGATTTTTCCCCCAAATTAAAAATATCAAGATACTCCAATCTTTTCTTGTAAGACATTCTATAATTTCTAGATCAAGGCAGAACCAAACTCTTGGTTTCTAACCTGGAGCCTTGAACACTACACCAGACTGGCTCTCTTGTGCTTACTGTATTCCTGTATTTCTATATTTTTGTGATCTTATTGCACCTTTTGAGTGCTGGCTGCTGCCATGTTTAGACCCCTTCTTGGTTAGGGAAATATCTGCAGGGCTGCTGAGAGGACTATTTGGTGGATAAAATCACTTGGATTCATGCTGAGTTGAAGTCCAGTTGTGCAGGTCTTATGAAATTGTCTTCAACAGTCTTGGGTTGCTATTTGGGAGGAATTCCATCCTGTTAGTCCTGAAGTAGCTGACAAGGTACTTGGCCATGTGGGTGTAACCTCCTGTGTTCTAGATATGATTGGACAAGGCTTTCAGAGAGGGTAGGTTCATCTCCATATGGCAAATGCTTTCCTGGCAGAGGAGACAGTTCTACCACTTCTAAATACTCTCAGGATAGGCATGCTTTCCTTTCTTCACTTGAAACAATGTCACCTTCAAAACCTGGAGGTGCGCCTTTTCCACTGAAGTGCCTGTCCTCTGAAAAATTCAATTGCCTACAATTGCCCAACCCTATTGTCCTTCTACTGTTTATAAACTCAGTAAAAACCTTGCTTGAAACACGGATGCTTCAACCAGGATAATTTGAGTTCTGGTGCAGAGGACTGCAACAAATTTGAGTCCCTGATTTCCAATTAATAATTCTTCCCTGTTTTTAGCTGATATTGTTTTTTTTAAATATATTAATGTTCTGTTTATTGTACACAGACCACACTAGCATAGTTCAATTTGGACAGCTCTATACTGTAAATATTTTAGATACATATATGCAGAAAGTATTATTTGGAATAATTATTTCAACATGTGTCCAAAATTAATTGCATAGGACTATATCATATGAAATGTAATGGAAATACATAGTTTGGCACACTGGGTTCTCCAATTTTATTTCTCCGATAGACTATTTTTAAAAGCTGACAGCTTTCAATTCTCAGTTTACTACTATATATAAATAGATGATGTAGAGTATAAAGCAGCACTGACCAAGATAAAAGAAGTATGGCTTCATAAAGAACATAACTAAATTACATGTATTTTTCACTAGAAAATACAGTGATCATCAGTATTAATAACATCAAAAGAGACTTTTTCAACTCATGGCTATTAGTGTATCAGTGGCTATTTGCTCAATTGCTCCACTTCTATTACTTCTGAGCTTTATGCTGAATTCCCATGCTGTTTGAAAGTTTTTTATTTGCAGGGCATGGGGAGAGCTGCTAGAAAAATATAATGTTGGCTTAGAGAGAGCTTTGGTTCGATTC